GCAATAAAGTCGTTTTTCCACCAGCGAATTTTCTCGCAAGAAGGGACCTTTTTCCTTTGTCGGTATCACTTATTACGTCAGCAAGACGTGGCAAAATCATTCCTCGAAAACGAGGTTAAATGCAAATTTTTGCCCACCTTAATTCAACCAAAGTAAGAATTTTTTATGCTGGTAGGTTTTAAAATGTCAACGATTATAGAATTCGATTGGTAGTTCGATTAACTGAACACACTACGGTGTAAGGTTTAAAAACTGACGGGTATTGTGTATTGTGTATTGTGTATTGTGTATTGTGTATTGTGTATTGTGTATTGTGTATTGTGTATTGTGTATTGTGTATATACAGTACGTTAGATGTTTGAAGATCAAATTTCGCGCGTCTGGAGTTAAAATTTGGCTCTAACTTTCGAATTTTCCGGCTGGAGGTAACGTTCCAGTTATATTCCGATTTCAATGATTCGTAAATGCGTGATTAATAGTGCACACTGCTGGTGTTTTCGAAGGTTTTAGAAAAACTCGTATATTATCGAATCTCATGGTATTTGGAGGAACATGATCTTTTTAACAACTATCAGTATGGTTTTCGTCAGAATCGATCAACGAAACATGCTATTACGATCTTGATAGATGACGTAAGAACTGGTATGGATCAAGGTCAATTGACTGGGTCAGTCTTTATGGATATGCGTAAAGCTTTTGACACGGTAAACCATGGTCATCTTCTGGACAAACTACCAGCCTATGGTATTAAAGATATAGAAATGAAATGGCTTACAAGTTACCTGTTTGCACGAGCCCAAGTTGTAAATTTCAAAGGAACGCTCTCAGATAAAAAAACCATTACTCACGGAGTCCCGCAGGGCTCCATTCTAGGACCACTGCTGTTTGCTTTACTTATAAACGATCTTCATACTGAAGTAACTGAATGTAAAATTCTACTCTATGCCGATGATACAGTGGTATATTTTAGTCATAGGAACATTTCCCAATTGGAAACTATCGTAAATGAAGAAGTTAATAAGATAGCAAAATGGATGTCGGAAAATCATCTAACACTAAATTTGAAGAAAGGAAAAACTGAATTTCTCCTGTTTGGGAGCGCCAAAAGACTGGGTAAAGAATCTTCCTCTCCTATCAACATCAAGATCAACGGTGAACATCTTAATCAAACAACGCAATACAAGTATTTGGGTGTACTACTTGACCACCATCTTACTCTCCACGAACAAGTTCGTACTGTGTATCACAAAACCTCTACAAGATTAAAGTTACTCAAACGAGTAAGGCACAATTTAACCACCTATGCAGCTGAGCGAGTCTATCTAAATATGATCCAACCAATTATTACATACTGTCCAGCAGTGTATCTTGGTTTGCGAACGTATTTGAAAGAAAAACTTCAATCAGTCCAGGATCGGGGGAAAAAAATTGTGCTTTCGAAACAGACTGATGTTAAGTGGAAATCAATCTCGGAAATAATCAACCAAAAGACTCTTTTGGATGTTCATAAAGCGATTCAACGAGCCTCTCCTCCCGTGTTCCATGAGTTCTTCACATTTCTCAATCATGGGAAGAACACTCGAGGGCATGCATTCATCGCACTACAGTTTTCGACGTTATCGTTAATCAAAGCTTGATTTGAAGGAGATGTATTCTTGTGTTGAATAATTTTTCTGGGTGTACTTAAGATGCCATTTGAGTTAACCGAAAGACTATTTTTCGTCGAGCTAACCATATTGTTGTCTTCTTAAGTGCTTGCTGAACCGCTTAATTTTGCATGACTAAATACCCTTCCATTATCTGCACAATGACCTTTGTTTGTGTTATCGTTACTCGACTTAATTTCTTCATTGTTTTCGATAATGTTAGTAGGGTACTGTTTCCATGAATCCAGATTGACTTTCAATCCGGAATGAACTCATTCCATTTTAATATAAAGCCTATTAAATGTTTACATGAGTCCGGAATGGGTTACAACTCGATCCGGATCGAGTTCGATCCCAATCTCATTCCGAATCGAGATTTCAATCCAGACCGAAATTTGGCTTCGATCCCATGTATACACGAATCGAAACTCGTTCCGGAATGAGAAGCGACCTGATAAGATAACATGGCTACTTTTCTCTTT